CCGAAGCGAGCACTATTAAGCTCTTCTTTAAAATCTCCCATCCTTCCTTGTAATTTTATTGGGTTTACAAGTATTTGCAGAACTGGGCTTGATAATGTTAAAAAACAGAATGTACTTGTAAATTATGCTATTTTTGAACTGAATACCTGAAGCCAAATATAAAGCTGGCAAACAATGTTGTACAACTGAAATTGCAACAGAAAATTAAAACAGCATAAATATATTAGGGCTGTCTATTCAGGATGCATTTGCAATGCCCAAAGACAGGAATCGGTCCCCTCTCCTAATGTGGTTGGCAAAACAGTTACTTATAGAGCTGTCTCCTCCATCCTCATAACCACAAGGCAAAACTCAACAGGATATGGTTTTTCTGATTGTTCTTTGCCCTGTAAAGGTTCCGTTCAAACAGGCAGTGAGGCCCTGAAAAACAGTAGCATCGAGAACAGTTAGATGTTCTGCAGAAATATTCTGTAACTTTCCCCAGAAAGTGCAAGAATACCTATAATGTAGGGAGAAAACTTTTTGAACCCATAGCTGACTGATTTATTGGAGCATTTAGGTGGCCTTGAGTTAACAGAAAATAGATGGAGAAAAAGATAGAATATGTTGTCGATTTTAATTATTCCTTTGCCAACCACACCGTGAACAGAAACTATAAAAGTTTATCATCTGATAAATGTTCCCCTTTTATTGAACTGTAAACCCAGCTTTAACAGCCATTGTGTTCTAAGCTATTGGCTCCAAACTGTTAGCAAGCAAAGAAAGGGCAGGCAGAGGCACAATGCTTTGCATATTGTGCAACTGTTGTGTTCCAGCAACTACACATTCGCCAAGAGCCATCCTCAAGTGGCTGTCAATGCTTAATAAACACAGACCGAAAACATCTGTAGCTCTCCTCTTGGCTTTTCCCATAGCAGTCCTGAAGTCCCCTCTACCAGTGCAGGGTCTAAAACAATGAAAGCTGGCATTGAAACAGCATGGGACAAAAGCAAATCCAAAATTTAGTTAAAATGACAGTAGTTCCAGGAAGCTGTTCTTTTTTCTTTTTCCATTAATGGTGATAGATGTCCATGGATTCCTTGACATGCCAGAATCCACACTTGGGAAACAATATGCCAAGGTTAGGATCTCACTCAGTCACTCCACAAAACTGTCTGAAAGCCTATTATGATGTGTACTATTGAAACTATGCTGGTAATGTACCTGCAGAATGAAAGACAAAATTAACCAGTCTTTGCAAAGATCTGATATCATATTGTCAGTCTGACATAGGTTGATGTTAAACTATAATAATAATAATAATAATAACAACAACAACAACAACAACCACTACTATTCACCGAGTGATCAGTGTCCTAAGCATTGCATTCAGTGAGATACATGTGTATATATTCCATTTCAATCCTTATGTAACTTCATTCTGCTTCCACAGCAAACTATGCCAGTCACAATATCATCCTCAGATCCTCTTCTATCAAGATTAACATAACCTTATTCCTTGACGTATCCTCTAATACCTCCTGGACCTTCAAGCAGCCCCACAAGTGATTCCCGTTTATTCTCCCAAGTTCCCCATGAAGGGCAAGCTCACACACTGCCACTCACAATCCTAGGACTCCCCACGAGTAACTGGTGTTGCTGTGCTATCACTTTCCACAAAGACAGAGCAGGAGAAGATCAGATGTGAAGGCTGTGATGGGAACTCACAGTTGCCTTCTGGTACAGAGCTCTGCAAGTCACTCAAACAGTGAAAGAGCTATTTATATCATGCTTAAATAACAAAAAAGGAAGAGGAAAGGATGTGTCAGCAGGAGAGAAAAGGAGGGAAGCATCCCAAGACAGGTCAGATCCCAAAGTACTTCAGCCTTGTGATAAGGAAGATCCCAGCCAAACGCTACAGCAACCCCTCAGAGATGAGGGCTTTGCAGGGCATCCCCTGCCCATACTGATCCTGGTGCAAAGCAGGGACTCAGCGATGGCTCACTGAAATCCAAGCAGTCTGCAGAGGTGGGACACCAACTAAGTCACCTCCTCCAGGTGCCCCTGCTGTTTAGTGCCTCTTAGTTGTCTCGGTGGACTCCTATTGCATCTGACATCACAGAAACCCGAGGCTCAGCGCTACTGCTCAGGGGCACATATCCTAGCTCTGATGGGATGGTGATGGGGTGAGGGGGCTGGTTAAGCAGTCCAGTATGCTCTGAGGGAAAAACACAACGATGCTTTAGAACAAGGTACTATATTTCCTCAAGAAGCAAATGAAAGGTCCATTGGAATCATCCATAGAGCTGTGAGAATGGTCTAATCAGATGTAGAAGATGATGGGCAAGTCAGGAGTGGACAAGGGGGAAATACCTTTCTTGGAGAGTGTGAGACACAGGGCTCCCCAGGGCTGAAGAGAAATTTGAGCCTGGATAGTGGTAAACTATTCCATTCACTTCCAGCAGGTAACACCATGTAGCCTTTGTTTTTAGGCCTCAAATGTCAGGGAAATGGTTTTCAAACCACCCTCCAAAGAGCTGTATGGCTCAGAGAAGGCACCTTAAAGAGCAGCTAGCAGGGATTTGGCAGGAAGCTACTGAAACAAGGAGTCTTAGGGATTTCACTCCAGTTCCCAGCAGAGCTGCTCCTCTCTGTATGTTTTATACACTGGGATTTCACATTTGGAAAAAAAAATGGCTCAACCATTTAAGAACTGTTGAAAACCACTGGCTTAGGGACAATGTCATAAAAAAGTTTTTAGAAATGAAAATGTAAATCTCTTGACACACACATTTTGTTAATGTGTCTGCATATCACTTAGCACAGTGAGTCACTCCAGCATCCAAGATCTTATTTATAAACCACATGACAGCTGTAGTTTTGTAGAGGTTATATAAACTTATCTGTTTATATGGAGAGAG